TGGATATGCACTCCGCACAAATAAAACTTGCACCACTATAACATATAAGAGTTTTAGAGACCAAATATTTTGGTCTCTAAAAGTGAAAAATTTTGTTGCAAAAAACATTTAGGGACCAATTTCTACCATCATGAGGATAGTCGCTAAAAGATCGTCCCAAAAAGTCAAAAACAAGACTTTTAGCGACAAAATTTTGAAAATGTCACTAATAAATAGATTTTTAGAGACAAAATAATTTGATCTCAAAATAGTTTATTTTTTGAGACAAAAAATTTGGTCCCAAAAAGATAATAATTCATCATTAATATCTCATTTTTGTTGCTAAAATATAATAATGACACTTTTCGCAACAAAAATATTTGGTGCCTAAAAAATAATTTTGTCCTTAAATTTTGGTTTCAAAAACCTTAATTTTTTGTAGTGACCCCACACAAGTTAGACTTACACGAATGCATAGGTTGGACTTACACCCATACATAGATTGGACTTGCAGTCCACATAGATGTAACTTGCACCCTCGCAGATTTGACTTGCACCCCGCACAGATTGAACTTGCACTATGCATAGGTTGTAGTATTTTTATATTTTTTTTGTCAAACTAATTTATATTTTATTTGAAAAAATAAACAAAAAAATATTTATTAATTTTAAAAGAAATTTTTCTCTCAAAAAAGATAGAATCATATGAAATTGATATTTTTTTACAAACTAATTTTTATTTTTTAAAAAAATAGAAAACAAAATTCAACTATGATGAATTCAATTTCTCATATCCTAATTTTTTGAAATTATTTTTAATGCTAAAATATATGTGACTATTTTTTTGGTTATTTTTAGTAAACTTTTTTTTTTAAGTATTAATTTGTATTATTTTTATTGTATGATTTGAATTAATAAAAATACAAAATAATATTTGTATGGTTTAATTATAGTTTATTATTCATTTTTTATTTGTATGATTTAAGTTAATATTTGTGTGGTTTGAATATTACAATATTCTCTCTTTTTTTTTTGGTACAATTTGAGTTAATAATATTTATTTTTATTGGTCGTTACATTTTCACTTAATGAATAAAAATAATATTTTCTATTTAGAAATAAATTCTAAATAATTATTATTTATATTAATTTCATATCATACAAATCATTTTAATTATGTAAAAAAAATCATATATTTTTTGAATTAATTTAAATTTTTATTAAATATGTTAAATATTAGTCTCATTTTAAAGATTTTGTTGATATTTTTTGAATAATATTAATTTTATAAAAATAGAATTTATATATTAAAATTTATATGTATTTTATTAAAATAAAATAGAATAATTATAAAGTGTAGAAGTTATTAGTTGGTTCAGGAATAGCATCACGTGTGCTCCACATGTATTGTGATTAGTCCAGGGACTCACAATTTTATATTGAATGATTGAGGAACATAAGAGGATATGAAAGTTTGTGATTAGTTTAGAATATGATCATATGATGTCTCAGGACCAACTAATAATTTTTTATAAAATAGGTGAGTGATATGATGTGTGTGCTAGAGAGAGAGAAAGTGAGTGATATGGTGTGTGTGCTATATATATATATATATATAGAGAGAGAGAGAGAGAGAGAGAGAGAGAGCAGAATTGTGATGTGTGAAGTGTGTTGGTGAGTGTGTAGTGTAAGATGAGAGATATTTGAGAATTAAGGGTCGAAAAATAATGGAGAGGCTCAATTAAATATCTTATATAAATATTAAATTCATATATGTAAATCTTGTATAAATTTCACATTCATATAAAATATTTAAAATCTCTACCGTTACTCTTAAAGGTCATGTCCTTGTAATATATTTTTTACTTGTCAATGCTGTTTAAATTTTCAAATATTTCCCACTGATTTATGGGTTACATCTTCTTAACCCACTGCAAGGTAATTCCCCCTTTTTTTTCAACAAAGTAGTCAATCCAAATTGCCCTTTTCTTTTTCTGTTTTTTTAGTAACAAAAAAGCTAAGGTCCGAAATTAGGGTCCTCTTTTGCCAACTGGTTTAAAAGTTAATTTATTAAATTTTTGACTTTTTTAGTCACCCCATCATTCTATTTTTAATAGGTATGTATGGTAAAAATTAAATTAATAAAATATAAAATTTATAAGTAAAATAAATTTAAACTATGAATACTTGCTAAAAGAAGTCAATTGATTGATTTCCTTTAGCTTTTAACATATTTTTAGTCATATCACTTCTCATATTTTTTACATTCAAAAAAACATAAAAAGTCAAAAAAAATTTAAAAAATAAAAAAAAAAATTAACCAACTTTTCAAATCACCACATTGTAGTTTCCCTTATTTTCTTTACAAAGAAGTCAATCTCAATTCAATTGTCCTCTTCTTTTTAAATTTTTTTAACGTAGATTTATTTGAAAAATGAGTTGACTTTTTCAATTTTTACTTTTTTTTTTACTATTTTAGCTTAGAGCTAAAAAGTCTCGTTTAGGATAGACTTTTTGATTTTTTTGAATTTTATGAGAGAAAAAATAAAATAATCATAGTTTAAATGTAATATTTTATCTTATTAGACTAAAAAATTTATTTTATCTTTTTGTGACTAAAATAACCAAAACACCAAATAGCCTGGCATGCCAAAATATCTCCCATTTTTTTTTTACAAAGACATCAACCTCAATATGAAAGAACTCAAGTTGGAAATTATTTTTGTTTGGTTAAATTTTTGAATTAATTACTTAAAAGTCCTATTTACAAATGTTATAATAATTCAGATCCTATCTAAGATTTTTTAAATTAATAAGTCATATTTAGTAATATTGAGAATTTATCAATTTTTTCCAATTTTTAAAAATAAGAACATTATCAATTTTACATAATGTGTTCCAACTGATGAAAAAACACAAAACATGAGATTAAACATTTTTATCTTTCTACATATTGGTTTTATAACTATCCAATAAAACCAAGAATATTATCAGTTTTTTTCTAGTTTTAAAATTGAGAATATTATTAATTTTTTCATTTTTAATTTTTTTTCCAATTTTACACATCAATATTTTATCATCATGCTCCTTTATAGACACAATTTTCAGTTTTACACAAAAAAATAATTCAATTTTTTCAAAAAAAAAAAACCTTGGCTTTTTGTCTTTTTTGGCACATAATTTTTTTTGCAAAGTTTTTTTAATTTGAAAGTTGATATTTTAAAATTTTGAAAATCAAAATAAATGTCAAATCATTATGTTCCTATATATATAATTATAAATTATGAACAATCATTATTTGAAAAGTAATTTCAACTATTAAAAATTTAATAAGACTTGAAAGTCCAAAAAATCTTAATCAGGACTTAATGAAATATAAGTTCATAAATTAGAATTTATGTGTAAATGTCCCTAAATTTTGTAATTTATTTTAAGAATTTAAATTTAAACTGATAAAAACAAATAAATAAATATATATATATATATAGATAAAAATAAATAAATATATATATATATATATATAAATTTTCAAAAATCATTTTTATACCAAAAAAAGAAAATCATATAAAAATAATGAAAAAGAAACAAGGGTGTTTTAGTCTCATTAGAGAAAAAATTATTGAACTCGACAGTTTTTAATCCTTTAGCACCTATGCTTGTAGATGTAGGGATGACTATTTCATTCCGATCCGTGGTGTTCACTCATATCCGTTTAAATGCGACAGATTTTATTCAATCCGATACTTATGTGCAGTGGGGGTAAATTATATTTTAGTTACCCGCAACAGGCTGGGGCAGGGACGGGTATCACCTCTCCTAATCCAAACCCTACCTGATATAATTAAAAATATATATAAATAAATAATATATATATATATATGTATATACATACATAATATAATTAGATATAAGAAAGAAATACTAAAAGTTTATGGCTCTATTTAAATAAAAATAAATAATAATCTTAAAAGTCTCACTATTTATATATACAGAAACAAAAGAAATTATTTAGTGTGTTAAGAATTTAAATGATTCTCAATTTTTTTGATTATTTAAAATGTGATCGTGTATCCGTGAATATCTGCAAGGGCGGGGATAAAATTGAAAAATTTCACCCATAGTGGGGATGGGGCGGGAATATGGGTGAAATTTATCCGCAGAAGCAAAAGCAGAGGCGAAGGATGACAAACCCACCTTTTGGCCATCCCTACTTAGATGCATATGGTACACGCGTCTAACATGCATAATTAGGTTTAAAAGAAATCTATCTAATTTTTTCGTAGAGTTAACATTACGTAACATTTGCCACTAAAATGCATAACGTGTATTAAAAAAACGCATAATTAGGTGTAAATGGTACACAACTCTAAAGGAATTTCCTTACTATTTAGAGTTAATTTTCATTTTTATCTTTTAAATTATCTTCATATTTTCTATCCTATTCTTAAACATTTAATTCCATCGATCTAAGCTTCAAAATTTTTAAATTCAACTAATGTGATTCTTTACTTTTATATTTTTCTAAATTAGTAGAATCAAAAAATTTTAAATTTAATAACAATTATTTTAATTTTTTTAGTTGTCAAGCAAAGATAAATCTTGCTAAAACAGATTCCCCCCAAAATAAAAAATATCAATAAAATAAGCTAAAAACAAACGGTTTAACTATTCTTAGCTTAAATACCAAAAAATGATTTAAAATTTGTAACCAAACAAAGCATAAATATAAACAAAACAGTAAATTTCATTTTCAAGATTTTCATTTAAATTTTATTTTACTCTTCATTTTCTAATTCCAACAATTAAATTATTGAGTACTCAAAATTGAACACTTGATCCCCATCACTCACCGTTAAAAAAAGGTAATATTAAATGCTCATGTGATGGGATTGTCTTTTTTATAACCCTTTAAAATATAGCTACAAACTAATCAAATTGTTCACAGGCTCAGCTTAATAAGGGCATAGATCAGCTTGAGCCAATCTTTTGAGTCCGTTTAATAAAACGAGCTAAACTCAAGCTAGAATGAACTCAATTCAGTTATTATTTATTCAAATAATAAAATAAGTATATTTTTGATATATTAATAATGCAAAATGTAATAAAATGTATTGTTTTTAATAATAATATATTTCAATACCTTAGAAACCAAAAAGCGAGGCAAGAGGAAAAGTGAAATGGAGAGGCATGGGAGGCATTTACTGATTCGAGCTTTAGCTCCCGTTGAATAAGCCAGGGAAGAGCTTATCCAATGGCTCATCCATGCTTTTCTTTGTAGCTTTGAGAAATGCCATGCTGCCACCTCAACAGATGAGTAACGATGATATGGAGTGGGGGCCAAGAACTGAATGCAGCGGAACACAGCGCCTCACCACCATCAAATAATATAAATAATAACAAAAAAAAAAATTCATTATCGATTTTAACTCGAGTTTGATTAGTATTAACAGCCGAGCTGAGCTCCAGCTACATGAAATTTTTTACCCAAGCTCGAGTTAAATTTCGAGTTCAATAAACAAACGAACTGAGCTCGAGCCCTATAAAACTTGGTTTGGTTTGGTTAGGCTCGTCTCGTTTGCTGCTTTACTTTAGAGCATTGGAAAGTGAGCAATGAGAAGGAACTACCAGGTGAAAATCAACAAAGGTATACCTCAAGTTGAAATTCTGCCAAAACCCAAGTGCAGAGCTTGCTCTGAAGTAACTCATCATTCCATTGCAGAAAAAGCAAAACACCTCCCTGCAGTTCACAAGTACATCCAAATCTTTTAGAAGAACTAAACATGGTAGATCTTTCTGAGCTTAGCTTATGAGTCTTTCATAGCGCAAATCTTCCATAAATTTACAAAGTACCCATCTTTCTTCTGTGTTAATTCCTCACTTTCATGGTGTAAAACGATATTTAGAGTCATCTCTTTGTTAAACAATATCAATTCAACCAACCATTTCAGACAAGCAAAACTAGGCACAAGTTCATAGACCACTTTTCTTTTGCTTTTTTTCTTTTCAGTATCAAATCCTTTGGAAATAAGAAATATCTTTAATCAAACTTCCTCAATTATTTCATAATTGGATGGGTCTGCAAAAAGTAGTAGAAAGCAATACATGAAGGCTCTAAGTAAGAACAAGGGAACAACACAACAAAGCCAATCCAACCCTAATCACATCCTAGATTCCCAACAAACCAAATAATAATAATGATAACAGAATCCCTCTGATAGTAATGAAGATGAAATTATTTCGATCTAAGTTTCAACTTTTCATCCTTCTTAATGACATTGTTGCAGATAGTTTAATCTACATTCTGGTCGTTCTTGCTTTCAGAGACATTCAGATGACATTGACCAATCAAGTGCTTAAATAGCCCGTTAAGCAAAAAGTTAAGATCTGGAAACAAAGCTACCGTGAATATATCCTCATTCTAAAACAAGACACACACTAACCATACTAATGGATAACTTAATAATCATGATGTTTATGTTATGTAAGCATAAACTCAAGAAACAAAAATGGGTACATAAAAAAAAACATCACCAATAATGAAACGAGCATACAAATGTAGGTAAACTGGACCTTCACTCGCAGGTACTTGATCTTTGTAGCCTTAATTTGTAACCAGAATGTTGACAGTGAAGCCACAAACACTGCACAGATGCCGGTGACCTCAGTCTCATAGCAGTAATTTTGGAACCACAGACAAATTAAGATGTTACCCCAGCATCCATCATCCTTCAAATATCTGCAAAACCCTTGAGCTCTCTTCCTCCATACACAATAGAAATGCACTATGTCATGCTTTCACCAAAACCACTCCATGATCAGATAAGACAGAATTAGCAGCCCAACACTTGTTGGCAAAGATAATAATCTGTCTCACGGAGGTGATATATGGATTTCAGAATCCTTAATCTTGATCTGGCAGTAGTTCCAGAATCTTAAAACTTTGTAACAGTTTCAGGAGGATGCAGAGTTAGGTTCAACTGTTCATCCCTATAAAAGGGCTTCCAAAATTCTCATAGAATTTGGGGACAGAGCTGGTTGGGCTTAAGATTAGCATGTTGCTTCAACCATTCAACTTCAATTTGCATAAATTGCAGGCATTGGTGCAAGCTGAAAATGGCCTAAACAAGGAGTCAAGGCCAAAATGCAGAACCTAGCTTCAAAACAAGCCATACACTCAAAAAATATCAGTCAATACCAACCCACTTCCTAAATGCCCGAACATGTTCAATCCGGTTGCTTTGAGCCTCAGTTCTAGCATTTGATGCTTTTAAGCTCCTATAGAGATCTTTGTGAAACTTTAGGAACTCAATTTTAAACATCCACTTGTCGATGTACATACCATGCTCCTTCATATAACCAATAACCTCCATCACTCTCTCAAAGTAACCACCTCGAATAAAATTCAATATTAACAACTGAAATAAATCCCTGTTAACCACTAAATTCCCATTCTCTATATTCCTCTTAATGTCCCCCCATAAGATGGTGATTTCACGATACATTTCCAAAGAAGAATACCCAGAAACCATATTAAAAAATGTTTGCACAATGGGCTGGATTTTCATCATTTGCATTTTTCTGTATGTATTCAAAGCATCCCCTATCATTTTAGCTTTCCAGAAGAAGTAGATAGAAGAATTGTATTCATAAACCACAGAAAGCACAGTTTTCCCCTCTTCTTCCAATTCCCGGATGATAGACTTGGCCAAATCTGATTCACCATCTGAAACAGTTATGGCCTCATCAAACAATTTTTCAACCAAACCAGCTTTCTTACTTCGATTTAGCAAAGCCTCTGCTTCCCCAAACATCTTTCTTTCATGATAAGCCCTCAACAGCGATATATAGGACCTAGTGCCCATGGGAGTCCCTCCCAACCTCATGTCATCTAAAATGTCATGAGCAGTCTCCAACCACCCCAAATTAACGCAGGCATCAATCACATCAGAACACAAACTTTCTTCTTTCAATGAACTTACCTTCTTCTGAATGCTAATTAAAAGCTTTGACAACTCACTAATCCTACCACATCCCTTGTATTGTAGGATAAGCTTGGCTATTCCTTTGTCGCTAAGGACAACTTTACCATTCTTATATATAAGAAGCTCTTCTTTAGTTTCCATTTTGAGGACAGAATCCTTCTGTAGCAGCTCAGGTAATATCTGTATTTTCAACCCTGCCCTGAGATTGTGAGATCCAATTGACACAAGGCAGGGTTTCTGGGGGTCTTTTCTATACTTTTTGCCATTAAGAGATTCATTACATCTATATATGTCTAATATGAGTCCCGAAGCAGCATCGACATCATTAAATTTGAAATGTAAGCTCAGCAAACTATCATAGAACTGCCTGTAATGATGAACCAGAGAAACTGAAACCTGATCAATATGATGCTTAAATTTCTTCAACTCATCCCTCTGGCCATTCATCTGATGAATCCTCGAAATGATAACAATGGTATGTGCATCAGCTATGACACCCACTTGTGCCATCAGTTCTATAATCTGTTGGCCATTGAAAGATGACCCAAACCTCAGACAAGCATCCAGAACAAGGTTAAAGATCATCGTATCAGGTTTTATCGGCTTTGTAGAAGCAGATCTGTTTGCATTTGAATGTTGAAATCGATCACAAAGCTCAATCAATATATTTGATGCAAGATATGTCCCAACCTGTGTCTTCACCATATGCATAAAGATCAGCCCCAATACATTCGCTGGGGGCAAACTCTCTTTCTCCAGCATCAGCCTGAAAACCATGGATGCGGAAACAGGCATTTGAGCTCTTGCCAAGGATAGGGAGAGCCTAATCAGGAAGTCGGATCGAACTAAATTAGATTTCTCTTTTTGTATTAGAAAAACCAAATCGCATGCCTTCTGAAGCCAGTGGGGATCAGATGAGTAGGACAACTCAAGTAGCAGTGTACTCATGAGAGACTGGTTAGGAAAACCATACAGGTTTCTGAAATCATTATAAGTTTCCCATGCTTCATCAACTTGATGATCCTTCAAAGCCACTTCGAGCTTTCTGAGCAGAACCGTGTGTGAGGATCCTTCCCAACATATGCTTTCTGTCTTAATACTAGTAGAGAAATGTTGGAGGGAGGGACTCAGATAATGCTTATGGCATATATCTGGAAATTGAAGCTTCCCAACACTGTAACTGCAAACACATTCTGCATCATAAATCGATCTTAAAGCAGTATTTTCCGTAATTGAAGAGATACGGACAACTGATGAATAACTCCTAGTGAAGTAGGGATGTACTAGGAGGAGTGTTTTTTTCAATGATTTTGCCATTCAGATGCACATTTTTAAACGACCATAGTACAAGTGATTAGAATGGACAGTGACGGATTTAATATGCCTACATGAAGAGCTATTCAATGACAAGGTTAACCCATTAACCATACTCCACATAAGATTACAAACTTGAACACCCAATTCCAGTAGTGTATCCTTCCAGGTGCTCTTCGACAAATTTTCTGACTAAATTATCTGTTTAAAAAACACAGAATAATAAGACACAGAATCGATACATAATAGAAGGAAACTACATAAACTCTAATCTGAGACTATCATAACTCACATCACCATTAAAACAATGAAACATCATATCACACAGACTTCAACAAGCAATAACATATACAACCCACATAACCGTTGTCCCTATTCGAAGCAAAGCCCTTTTCCATGCTTCAGTGTACCAGTGTTAAAGTTTATGTCAAAATCTACGAATCAAGGAACTATGTCTGTATCAAGTATCCACTACAAGTTTATTACACAGAAAAATCATACTTCACTTCAACTTTAGACCAAAATTATGGCACAGTGGAGTAAAACATTGACAAAGTCTACACCAAAATTATATATTAAGAATCAGACATCCCTTATAATCCAAGTGGAGTAAAGGACTGACAAACATATTTTTACCTAAGATAGGTTGTCTATGTCAATCATTAGCCATACTTTAGTGTTAAAACAAATAAATAAATAAATAAATAAAATAGAGTTTGAAAAATTGCTTCACTAAAAAATCTAAATTGCAGCCCCTCTTTATCTATATATATATAGAAGCCCATTAAAATATGATTTGTTTGTCCATAATTTTAAAACAATGAAAAAAAAAATATGTAAGGATTAACATAGAACAAGAGTCAGATTAATAGATATCAAAAAGAATAATCACTTACGCGAAAAAAATTGAACAATAAACTACCTCAATCTCCATTAAAAAAAAATACAAGGGAAAAAATCAATGGTCCGTTTGGTTCTCGGGAAAGAAAATACTGAGCGACTGGCAGAGAAAGAAAGCAACTTTATGACAAATCAAGCATTCAACTTGGTTTCCTGTCTCTCATGCTTTCCCGCGAATCAAACAGGGGAAAATAGGTACAGATTTTTTCACAATCGAACTCGATTCAGAGCCACAGCGAGCGAGAAAGCGAGCTTACCTCGTTGAATCACACTGATAATATACGATTGATGAGTTGTTTCCTTCATTGGAGACTCCACAACTGGGCTCTGTTTGGTTGCCAGGAAAATAGGAGTCGATCGAGCCCTAGATGGTGGAATGGGTTATCTTATCCCTAGCTTCGTTTCCCTTAGTCGAGGAGAACCCTGATTAGAGCATACCGTTGTCCAGGATGTGAATTGGGATGGCAATGAATAACCTGTGTGTATCAATGGAGACTCAATATATTGTTTTTTTTTTTTTTTTTTTTTTTTTTTTTGGATCGCTCAGGATAAGGTAAGTGATATTTGTTTAAATTTCAGCAGCAGGAGGAGATGGGTCGGGGTTAGATACTTGCTAATTTTCTTTTTTCTTTTTTTCTTTTTTTTTAAGAGATTCGTAACTAAAGTTAAATATATTTTTAATTTTTTTTTTTCGTTTTATAAAAAAATTTGTTTTTTTGAATTTACAATCAAAGTTAAATATACATTTAATATTTTTTCTTTTCTTTTTTTTTAAAAAAAACTGTTTTTTTTTTTAAGGTTCACAACTTTTTTTTTATTTTTAATATTTACAACTAAAACTAAATTACATTCAATCTTATTTTATTTTATTTGGCTCAATAACAAAATCAAATACACATTAATTAACATTGTTACATTATTTTATGTTTATCTAGAATTTTTTAAATTTATTTAGAAAAATTTTATTCCTACAAAAAAAATTCCATTTTCTTTTTTAATTTTTTTTAGATTTTTTAAATTTTATGTATCTCATTCTCCTCTCTATTAATTGATCTTCAATAATTTGAACGTGAGTTATTGCTCTCGTTTCCATCTTCTTGTTCTTCTTCCTTTTTAAAAAAATTTTTATTTGTATTTATAGAATAAATTTTCTTGTTTCAATATCTCCTGCAATTGTTTTGTTGGATTTTTCTCTGATTTGATGGTAACCTTAGATTGAATTTTTCAATTTTCATCTTAACTAGCGATCACCTTAATTGAAATTTTATACATTTTTATCTTCAATTTTCATGTTTTGGTTATGATTAATTGCGCATTTTTGATCGATAGTCACAATCTTGTCACCGCTAGATTGTCGTCATCGCAAATCGCCGTTGCTATAGTGAGAAGATGAGAGAGTGTGTGAATTAGAATTCTAATTGTCAACAGAGTAGTGAAAACATATGGAGAAATTATTTTCCGATATACCTAAAAAATATATATATATAGGGAAATTAGTGAGTACCCATCCCCGGTTGAAACTTAAAGAACATTACTTACCCTACTCGATGGACAAGAAAAAAGGAAAACCCAAGTATTTGGGTTGGATCTCTATGAATACCCACATGAAAAGTTATCCATTGACATCCCTACTCTGTTGACAATAATAATGTGACAATGTTAATTAATATGAATTGATTTTTTAATTTTTTTTTAGTTTGAGATTAAAATATGTTATTTGGAATGAATTTTTTAATTTTTTTTAAAACTTTTATTAGATAAAAAATAAAATGATTATGATTTTGATGTAATATTTTGTTTTATTAATTTTTTTAACTTATTTTATCTTTTTATAACTAAAATAACTAAAAAATCTTATGTCAAACAAAGCCTTATTTGATAGATGTATTTATTTCGATCGTATTATTTTTTATTTTCTAATATATTTTTTTATAAAAAATTAAAAAATATGTTAAATAAGTAAAGTTTGAAGATTTGATGAGTGAAAAGAAAACAAAAAGAGAAATGAAAAGAAATGAAGAAAAAAAACACCATGTTTGGTTTTGATTGATTTTTTTAAATTGTGTTTTTTATTTTTCATATTTTTTTAGTGAATTTTTTATTATTTTAATTATTTTTTTTACTTTTTAGATGTATATAATTTAGATGTATTTAAAAAGTAAAATATTTATGAAAAAATATTTTAAAATTTTGATAAATATATAAGAATACAAAATATACTGAATTTTTGTATTTTTAAAATATTTTTTGTATTTAATAAAAAAATCATAAATATTTTACTTTTTAAGTGTATCAAGCTTAGGTGCATTTAAAAAAAAATTAAAATATTAAAAAATCTTACTAAAAGCAAAAAAAATATGAAAAAAAAAAAAAAAAAAAAAAAACAACAACAACAACAACAAATCAACAGATCATCATCAAGAGCAAGGAAAAAAATGTTGACACAGATCTAACACAAATCATCATCATTTCATCAACAACAGATCTAACATAGATCTCACAGATCTGAGCTCAAATCCATAATATATATATATATATATATATATAACACATAGAAAAAGGG